CCCCCTTAACCTGCTGGCACGGCAGGAACACGGCTGCGGCCAGCAGCACGGGCAGAGCTTGCCGCACAGCCCCGCGCTGACCCGCGGCACACAGCCCCAGGGTTCCCCCGACCTCTCGCGGGGCAGCAGAACGCAGGGCGGCGGGAGTGAGGACGAGCACGTGTTTTCAGCAATGGCGTCACACCACTCTCAACGTGAGAGATCCTCTGCTGCCTCACTTCTGCTCCCGTGGAAGGACGGCGGCTCTTCTTCCCAGGCCCAGGAAAGCCCTTGGCTCCAAGGAAGACGAGCAGAGGTGCAGCCATCACCCCCTCCCCACACCACGCAGCAGCCAGCCAGCCCCAGGGCAGGACCCGGCCAGGCTCCAGCAGTCCCGCCGTCACCTCCAGCTCGGCGCTGACCCAAGCACCGACCAGCTACAGGCGCAGCCGCTTGATATCCTCGCTGCGGAAGTCGATTCGCAGAGCCAGCACCTGCCGGACCTCGGCGGGGGTAAGGCGCCAGGTGAGCGGGCCCGAGTTTGGGCCCCAGTAATCCAGGATCTCCGTCACCTGGAGAGAGAGGAGAGCTGCAGGAGATGACAAGGCACGGACTGCCCTCGCAGGCAAGTTCAAACTCCGGCTACAGTCGCAGTATTTCCTGCCACCAAGCCCTGCATGCAAACACCCAACAGGCAAGGGGCAGCTCTGCCAACTTCTCCGTACCCCACAGGGGTGGCAGCATTGCGATGAGCCCAGTTAAATCCACGTGGAGTCCAGCTGGGGCTCCTGCAATCCCCCGGTGGAAGCAGACAAAGCGCAGCTCACCCTTTCCAGGTTGAGGATGGTGGCCATCTGGGAAAGACGGGCAAACTTGTCGCGGATGGTCCAGGTGGTGACTGTGGTGAGGTAGGCTATGAGAGACCTCAGCTCTTTGTCAAACTGCAGGCCGCCGAGCTGTGGGGACCGAGGGACCTCTGTTAACCCCCCGAGCATGCCCAGGGGCTGTGCCAAACTCACAACGAACAGATGTTTGGGGATCTCTGAGTGGGAGGCAGTTCGTCTCTGGCAGTTAGACCATTTATTGGAGGTTAAACTGGCTTACGTTTAGACCTATCTTAAAAGCCAGCCCCCTTATCGATGCAGGCTCTTTCCAGCCCCACCAGAAAACGCACTTTCTCCCTGTGTGTGCTAATGCGAGGTCTCCCTAAGCTGGCCACCAGCAGTGGCAGAGCTTCTCTGGGGGTAACATTTGCCTCTGCCCCTGCCCCACCCCGTAGAGGGTAACCAGGGTTTGGTGGTGGAGGGTTTGCAGCCCAGCAAGGGACTCTGCAGGAGAGAGGACGGTGTTTTGCTTACCCTGCTGAAGGTGGATTTGAGCAGCACTTTCTCCAGTTCGATGGCTATGAGACTGGTCATGAGACCAGTGAGGGTGTCGTAAATCACTGGAGACAGCCCAGCCTGGAAGCAGAAACCTGTGTCACGCTTGTTGGGAGCAACCGAGCACAGGGCCACAAAACCCAAGCCTATGAGAACTTTCAAACCAAGACCCATCACTTGCACGCTCAGCGGGTGGAAAGCACCCACAAAAGCGATCCAGGTATGCAGGGCCTGCAAGCAGGCTTTGAAAATTGCAGAAGGTGGGGAGCGACTGATCTTGAAGAGCCTCGCAAGGCGCCGGAGGACGTCTCTGTCTGCCGCGCCCTGAGCCGGGGAAGAGCTGGGCGATGCCACGTGGAGCTCTGGCAGGCTGCCACGTCCCCCTCTCTCACCTTGAACTCTGTCATCTGCTGTTCCAGGTTGACGATGAACTGCTGGACCCAGGGGTCATTAGCTTCATAGTCGCTGAACTCTTCCTGACAGGGAAATACAAAAAGGGTTGTTTACGTGGCCCGCTGTGAAGAGAAGCAAATGGCCTGGAGGATGGGGAGGGAGCTCCGTCCCGGAGCAGCACCGCACCCCTCCCGCCTTCTGGAGCACCTCTCTAGCCAAATGCCCCTTTCAGGCTGGGGTGCAGAGAATGTTCCAGATATTTTAGTGCTGCTCTGTGCCAAGGAAACAGGGGAGAAGTGAAGGGAATGAGACAGCGGTTGCTCTGACTGCGCTGCTGTGCAGAGCGTGGAAAGTGCTGAAGTATGGCTGGGAACGGAGGATGCTGAGCCTTACCTCCTCGATGTTGTGCGAGACGGAGAGGAACAGGTTGATCCAGGGCTTCACCTGGGGTTTGATGGCTGTGCTGTTCAGCTCGTTGAGACCTTCCTGAGGGGGACAGAACGAGGAGAGGAGTGACTGAGCACAGCTAACGCCCAACGGCACACAACCTTTACAAGCCAGGCTCCCTCGCTGCAAGCTGGGACAACCAACCCACAGACCTGCACAGGAAACTGAACCCACAAGTCCCAGATCCCACACTCCTCTGGTGCTGGAGAGCTCTGAGGACACCACGAAGGCGAGAAGAGGAAGGAAGTTGGCCCAGAGGCTGCTTGTTGTGCTGACTTGCAGCCTGGTCTGAAGGGCTCGTGCTTCCCCAGCCCTGCCCGTGCTGCCATAGAGGTTTCCTGGCAGAAGAGAGGCGTTCAGTTCAGAGCCCACCGCGGCAGGGAAGGATGCAAACGCCGGCCTTCCCACTCAGCGCCAGCCAGGAGGACACTGCGGTTGGACTCAGCTGATGCCTCCCACCTCCAGCGCAGCTCGGCTCAGCAGGAGAAGCTAAAAGGAGGATAAAAGCTGTAACTGCAGTTAGCTCCCTGAATTAATCATAACCCCAGCACGCGCCATCTCCCCCGAGCAGCACGTTGTCAGCAAAGGCTGTTCTGTCCGCTTTGATGCTAGAGAGCTCTCTGAAAGCCCTCCCCGGCCAACCACCCCCACTTGGCTCAGCAAGATGTCAAGAAAGCTCACCCAACACGAAACTATTCAGGTACCGACACCACCTGGCATTTGATGAAAGTTTTTAACTAAAATTGGCATTTCTGAGCGGGCCCTGCTGGCAATTGCCCTTTTCCAAGGCAAATTCAATGTGTGCATGACTCAGGCAGCGCAGGAGCTTGCCGCTAAGCCTCTTGATTGCTTTGCAGCCTGTTTTAATACTGCACTAGCGCTAGACTGGAGAGTTTTACTCCTTACGGACGAGCTTTTTGGTTTCGATGCCGACCACAAGCCTCAAGAGGGTCTGCTGGCAATACCAGGCTGAAGGCATCTGACTGCAGCAAACTGCAAAGCCAAATGAAAAATGGTCCAGGCCTTCAGTGAAGTACAAAGCTGATGGCAAACCTGCCTTGAAATGTTGTGGTTTGCTTGGTTTCTTTCCACAGAACGTATCAGGTCTTCCTGCTCCCCTCCCTGCCAGAGACCACCGCAAAATTTTAGGGCAACAGGCCCCAGCATGCCGCACGAGACGGTGGATTTAGCCAGAGAGCCTTCTGCCCCATGCCAGGGATTATTTCCATTTGGGAAAGGAGAAGAAACCTGAGAGAAGAGCAGCTGCTCCTCTACCAACCCTGCGAGGCTGTGGACAACCTGACAACGTGCTGTGCCACAAGGGAGAATGGAGGGGATGGAAATGCTATTAGTATTTCTTCCCCTGAAAATGCTGAACCAACTGCGACTCTGTGCTGAGCGAAGACAAATGGAGCAATGTTCCTTCTGGCTCTGCAGCTGCTTCCAGTGCTTTTTACGCAGCCGCCAGCTGGTGCAGCTGTGCAAACGGGCTGGATTCGTTTCCATGCCTCAAAGGTGACTGAGCTGCTCCCTCCTGTGCCCCTACCCAGCCATGTCCCAGGCCCTGAGCTGAAATTATTCCCGCCTGAACTCTCCCTGCAGACACCAGCCAGCCGGTGTCGGAGCAGCTGTCAATCTTGGCCTGCGCTTGCTCCCCCCCGAAGCCTTGGCTAAGCAGTTTGCCGCAGTCGCTCTGCGGGGAAGAAGAGATCCACAAGTAAGTTGCAAATTAATAACCTGGGCTGTTTCAATCCCTTCATGTTGCTGAGCTCTGGCTGCCCACCAGCATGTTGCAGGCTAGGACAGACGCCAAACTCTTGCCCCCGTGAAGACAGAGGCTGCTGACTCCGGGTGGGGCGAGGACAGGAGGAAGGGGAGCCAGGGGCTATCTAGTCCAGCACCAGAGAACCACAGCTTCTCACGTTTTATTCCACTGTCTCCCGGCCTGTGCTGGAGGAACTGGTATTTCCAGCTAGACCAAGTTCCGCTACCTGTCAGCCGGGGATTGCTCTGCCAGCTCAAAATTGCTTCCCTAGGGCTGGAGGGCAAACACCTCAGGAATCTGGGCACAGCAAAGTCCGAAGTCTGGAGGGTTTATTTGACACCCCAAGGGAGGGTATTACAAATTTGGTTACAGAAAAAACAAACAAAGAATCTAGACCGCACCTCCAAAGTCTTCTTTAGGGTCATGATGTTTTCGCTGCAGACTTCCACGTTGTTTAAGGTCACCTGGAAAAAAACAAAACAGCAAACCCAAGTAGAATTCATTGCACTATTTGCCAGCACCACAGCCCCAAGTCCTCACGTTCTCTCCATGTAGCCACAACACCACAAGCTGAAATGCAAATATTTAAGGGGACAGAGGTGCTACCGTGTGATCAAAGCACTGCAGATTCATGGAGCTGCAAGTAACGTAAAGGAGCACATGTGCTGAACTCACAGCTAGTACAAAGTCTGAGTTAGTTCACTTCTTTTCCTCATTGTTCTGTCCACAGTGCTGCAGCCAAGCCCCAGTTGTGGGTCACTGCTAGAAAAGAGGATATACCCCCAACTTTCTGTGACTGTGTCATGAAGAACAACAGACCAGGAGTGGCTGGAGGTGATGGTTTAGACGCTGTGTCCAGAGAAGCAGGGGAGGGCAGGAGGAATCGGCACCCCTCCTGCCAGATGAGCGTCTGTTCTTCACCAAACAGACTGTTCTCTACCTGCTGAAGCTGAACTAAATGTCAGTATAAGGCTGGGGTTTGTGCAGACAGGGAAATAAGGCAAGCTGACAGGTGAATGTAGAATTCCAGCGGGAGAACTGACATTTTAAGCACTTTGCTTCAAGAAATGCAGAAACCTGTAACCAAGAATTTAATGAAATGGAAGAGTTCAGTCCCTCCTGCTCCCTTTGTGGCCTTCTCTCCTTGTACAGAGAAAGTTCCAAGGAGCCTCTTCAGCACTGGGTTTTCAAAGCAACTCACAGAGCAGGAGGCAAGTCAGGGTGAGCCAGCCCTTCTCTGCAGTGCTCCCGGGGTCTCTGCCCACAGGTCTGCTCAAACAGCAGGGCTGGCTGAGAGCAGACAGCGATCCAGAGTCGCTCTTCTAGCGAGGTCTTTTCTGCAATGCACGGTTTATACAGCATCCCACCATGGGGAAGGACATGCTACGCTGCAGAAGACAGGAGCGATGGCCCTTCAAATGCTCTCCACAGGGTCTCTAATGCTCACTGCCATGTTCTGCCCTGCTCAAGCACGTGCAGAGTTGCAGCACTGCTGTTAGGAGGAGGAGACAGGAGGATCTTGCAGGCCAAGCAGAGCAGACGAGCCTGCTCTAATGGAAACGCTCTGATCTGATCAGCGAGAACAAAGGAGCCCGGAGCTTGGGCCAGGAAACTTTGTCATCTAGAGGAAGGTACGGATGAGATGCTCTCACACCACCTTTGTGCAGAGCCTGTGAAGAACGGGATTGACAGAAGCCTCAAAACAGCACAGACTCTTCCCCAGCCTGGAGGGAATCATCACCACAGCAGCCTAAGAGGCAGCCACAGGATCATACCTGGCCAGGCCTGGTGTGGAGGCTCTACAAACATGAAGTGAGGTAGAAGCGTCTACCAGCCACCCAAATCCAAGCCACCCACCATGCCTGAACAGGTTTTCAGGTCTTCTGAACATGTGGTAGTCGCACCAATCCCCTTCCCAAGAGCTCCCCATTGTCTTTCCCCTCACCCCAACTCACTCCACACCAGAACAGCCACCAAACCCACCAGAAAGGACTGCTTGGCCTCGTCGGTGCTTTCAATGCCTTTGGTATCAAACTTGCCCTGCTGCAGGGTGCTGTGCATGATGTTCACGGCACTGGTCACCCCTCTCTGGAAGTCCTGGAAGGTCGTGGCTGGAAAGCCCTGCTTCAGCTTGTTGTATAGAACCTCCCTACAGGACAAACAGAACATACCAGGGCTTAGAGCAAAGACTGCAAGCCACAGCAGAGTTGTGCTCCGTGACACGGGACAGCACTCTGGCTGAGCTGTGACCTGAGCAAGGTGACTGGAACGCCGCAGGGACAACGGACTGCATCTAAAGGACACAAGGCTGAAATAAAACCACAACCTGAGCTTTCCCCAAAATGCTGCCTGCAGCTGTCTTCTGTCTTCAGTCACAGTTCTCCACTCCCATGCTGGGATAAAAAACAGGAGCAGGACAATTTCTGCAGGCTCACCCCAAGTTCAGGTTACTAAGCAATCTCACTGGCAGCCCAGAGAACAACTAGGGGTGACTGTGCACCATCAAGCAGGGCAGCACTCCAATACCGCATGGTGACTGGGTCTCATAGGGATTTTGGGCCATGAAGTTGCTTTTTCTTTTATATGTCCATTTGTCCTACAGGTGACCACCACTGCTGTGAGAGAAACACGCCCAGCTCCAGCTTCCCACACCACACCTGATGCTGCTCGCCACCAGCATCTTCCATGGAGATAAGAAACCAGTTTCAAAGGCGGCGAACACGAGGAAGACCATCTGACAGCAAACACGGTTTGCAGAACGGGAAGCGGAGGCAAGCTACAATGAACCTGGTGTGTTTTCATTACCTGAAGTCAGACTCCAGCTCGGTGGTGGAGTGGTTGATCATGGCACAGAGACAGTCTATGCTGGAGCTGGACAGAGCACGCCCAATGCACTTCTTCACTATGTAAAACACATCATCCACCATGCTGGAGGTGAGCTGGCCCTTCTCGTAGCTGTCCATGGCAACAGCCTGCAAAGAAAGCTGTCTCAGCGCGTGAAGGTGCCCTCAGAGCGGTGCTGTGAGACCGAACTGCCAGCCTGCCCGTTCCACCCTGAGCTGAACTGCACCGTGCGTGGGCTGGCACCGCTCATCCTAGTTTGCAGTAGCCCACAGACCTGGAAGATCTGGCTCAGGAAGATGCTCCGGGGTATGTCTGGAGTCAAAGTTCAGAAACAACAACCTTTTTTTTTTTTTTTCCAAAGCCAAGGGAAACAAAAGACCTTCCCAGCAGCTGCAGATCTGCTACGTACTCATCTCCCTCCCCAGGGATGTTCAGCAGAGGACCGTGCAGCACATGCAGAGGTCTCAGCCGCTGGCAGAGCACTGAGTTGCAAGCAGCCGTCTGAGCCCTACCTTGTTGACAGTCTCCCTCATGAAGTATTCCTCCATGGTGATGTAGTAGCCAATGAGCTCTTGCATGGTGCGGCTCAGTAGACAGTTGTTAAGCAGCTTGTCGAGGTATTTCTGATGCTCTACAAAAAACAAAAGAGAACCATCAGCAGGCACCAAGCGCCAGAAAGCAGTTCCAATTAATTCCCCTGCTGTCTGTCTCACAAGCACCCAATGGACACAAGCCTGCAAAGCCCAACCTGGAATAAATTGCAGGCCTCGACTGTGGAGCTGATATTGCTAAGCTGACTTTTGCAGGTAACAGAAGCAATTTCCAGAGCTCCGTGGAGTACCAAAACCCTGAGCCTGTTCTCCCTGTGGTCTCTACCTTTAGGATCTGTACCTGCAGTGATCAAAGGGCCCTCCCTCTCTTCGGGGATCGCGTTTATTACGCTGTGCAGTCATTCCTAAGGTTGCTTTCCCTGTTAGAGGGAACAACCAGTGCTAAAAACAGACTTGAGAAGGCCAGGCTACACAATCCTCTTCCACAGAGCGCTCCCAAAGCGTCTTTGTAGATCCTGTATCCCTCTGCTCTGCCAGTAACTCAGATATATTTCTGGCTGCAAGGAGCAGTGCGCCTGCAAGTATTGGTATTCAAGGTGTTACCTTGCTTTACCTCCTCTGAAGCCATCGAGTCTCCCACCTCAAAATCAGATATTATTCGTCGCTTGATGAACCTCAAGTAGAGCTCACTGCGGGCATTCATCAGGGTGACTTCCGTTAAAATAGGGTCAAGTTCCCTGGAAGGGACATAGCAAGAATCAAGGCTGCAAGACTACAAAAGGAGAGGCACTAATTTAATAAGAAGCATGTTCTCTGTTTGCTTCCTGTGAGATCAATACTGGCCCTTTCCATCTGTGTCGTCGAGTGGCAAAGCTCAGCAGAATAACTGGTACGTGCAAAGAATGCACATACAACCAAAACATCCTGAAAAAATCATTACAGAGAAGCTTCTTTTTTCCTCACAGATGTGAGAACCACCACACCAAAATCACAGCAGTAAGGACTGCAAGGCTCTCAGCAACCTCATATAACTTCAAAATTAACCCTGTTTTGAGTGGGAGGTTGGACTAGACACCTCTGGGCGTTCTTTCCTACCTCAGTTTTGCTATGATTCTGCAAGCCCTACATGGCCAGTGCTAGAAATGCCTGGTGCCTGCCACCTCCATACGAGTGCTCTTGTGCACAGATTCATGTGTTTCTCTGAAAATAATGAAGAATCTGTTTAAGCTCAACAGCTCAGGAAACACAAGACCAAGAAAGCATATGACAATGCAGAACATGGTGTTCAGATCAGAGATGACTATGAAAAAAAAAGACTGTCACATCAGCAGCTTTCTCATCAGTGTACACAAAAGAATGTCACAAACCCTGCTCAAAGCCTTACGACACACAAGTGGGACAAGGAACCATTACCTTTATTTTACAGATGAAAAAGCAAAAGCTCAGAAAACCTGGGATGCATGCACAGTTGCTCAGAGCAAATAATACGTGGATCTTTACGTTTCTGCTGAAATTTTGGTCACGCAGGCTCATAGACAGACCTCGCTTGAGGAATGCAAGTTTTCTTTCAAGGCACACTGAGAAGTCACGCAATGCCAGAAGGGCTGGGTGCACTTTCAAACGGCCTTACTTCAGGGCTACGCAAATACTTCAGATAAAAAGACAAGGAAGGAGATTGGAAGGACTTCGGTTCATTAGCAAGAAACTGATGTTACAGTCACCGCAGCAGTGGTACAGATTAAATAGGACCCGAAGATTTATTCCTGATTCCGCACAAATTGTCTGCCCATTCTGTGGGCTCCGAAGACTGCACTCTGACTGTCAGAAGGTGGTGAGCACAGGCAATTAAAGTCTCAGTCCTTCATGTGCAGTGATATTGCCAGCCCTCCAGCAATGTTTAGGGCCGAGGCTCAAAAGTAATGAGTAAGCAAAATAAAGCAGCACCACAGAAGCTGCCTTTATAAAAGGGCAGTGAAGGGCACCTAATAATTGGATTTTATGCCTTAGTAGTCACAAGCCATCTGGAAGACTGGGAGAGTTATCTAAATGCTAAGTAGTGTTAATAACGGCTCAAGAGTGGAAGGTTAGAGAGCAAAAAGAGGTGTTATTTGTACCTTGGTTCGATCTTCTCTGCAGAAGAACTTCTCATCATGCTATTCTGAACTTGCTGGAACTGCAAGCACAAAAAATGGGAGAGTCATCAAAGTCTTTGCTGGTGACTTGGAGTTAACAGCCGCTTCTCGTGCTGTAGCCTAAAGAGGTGTTTACTCAGGGGGCGTGATAGGAATGCTTTGCAGGAAGCACTGCCAGAGAAGGGAACCGCATCAGTTCACCTCCTCCTCGAGGACAGAGCTCAGCCTGCCAGGGAGGGCGGTGACATAGAGGCACCAAGGTACGTAACCGTGAGACAGCCACAGCGGCCCTGCAGCTAACAGACAGAAGGAGGAACAAGACAGCGGGGGAAGGCATACCGAAAGCACCCTCCAGACCTGCAGAGTGAAGAATCCTGTGCCCAAGGTCCATTTACTATACTCCAAATGAACCCTTCTCTGCAACAGAATGGGTAGCTACAGGCTGGACCTCTTCAGCCATCAGTGCAAATACGGAGTAAAGCAAGGTTTCTATCAGTACGCAAGGTCAGACTTGGCAGTCTATGGCAGTCGGAGCCCCACAGAGCTGGACGGAGGCCGCAGTTGGCCGTGTCAGGCAGCCTCCCACCCCTCTTACCTGCCTGTGATAGTCCCTCTCTTTGACGAACTTGTCCACTACTTTCTCCACCTGCCGGTCGCACTCCACTTGCAGGTGCTTGATGAGAGTGTACAGCCTCCCTGGCCCATAGTAGGTCTCCACAATGGGCTGGTGGGTCTCCACAACGCGAGCAATCCCTGCACAGAGAGGGGAAGCACAGAAGAGAGACTCAAGCAGGAGTTTCCATCCAGTCTGGACCCAGAGCAGAGCTACACAGGTCCACAGACAGGACCTGACAAGGGATCATTCACTCCTTAGATAAACAGCTTAGACTGTCCAGCCACTCTCTAGTGCCTCACTGAAGGCCTGTCATTACCACCCCTCATTCCACAACACCTTCTCTCTCCACATGACACCTTCCATTCTCTCCACTGTTTATTGCAAGGCTGCAGTGCAAATCTCCGGGTGCAGAAGCCATCTCTCTTCCTAAAGAGAGCTCCCGTCATGCGACGTGTGTCAGCTCTCCTAGCCACTAAGATATAAGGTATGAAGGTATGATGCTTCCACAGGAGAAAGCCACAAGAGCTAAACCTGGCAGGGGGCATAACTGCCACCCAAACCCAGTCTCGCCTTTCAGCACCTGCCAGGTTACGGGAGAACAGCAGTGCTAGGAAAATCAGCCTAGGGAAAGCTCTGCTCTTATCTGCCATGCAGATGCCCAAGAGAGCAAGCATTAGCGAAGGCGAGACCTCCCTGGAGATAAAGCTCATCTCCAAGGACGTATCTCTACAATATTGCTTTCTTCTCGCAAACTCTCTACTCCAAGAGTTAGCAAAGCTGCCCCTCTTTTGACGCTACTGCCAAGAAAGCCTTGGCGGCTCCGAAGGCCTACAGCAGCAGCAAGGGTGCTGGGCTGGAGAGTGACTTGGCGGTGGTGCAGCCCGGAATTATAGCAGACTTAATAGAGAAGGCAGTTAATCACCGTGGTATCTCAATTACTGGTTTTGGCAACGTTCCCTCAGAGCCTTCATATTCCCTTCTCTCCCTTCCCTCCCTGCTTCCAGGCTCCTGTGGTCCTCCTTGAAGAGCCAGGCCTGGAGGCATCAACAGCTGCTCGGTCTTCAGAGATCTGATTTTTGTTGTCTGGAGAGCTCTGCATGCCTGAAGGAGCCTCCAGGGAATGCCCATTTGTTCTGAGGATGCAGAGAACAGGGAGAGTCTGATTCCTGGAGGAAGCCGACAAATCCTTTGCAAATTGACGTTGCACCTGTGCAAGCTGTACGTAGGAAAGCTTGCTTATTGTATGCCCGCTCCTGGCTGCAAAAAAGTCTGTTAGTCGCCTCCCTGTCCCCCTCTAGCATGACACTCCCACAGCTCTAAGGAGAAGGAAGCATTTTGTGCTCTCCTGGAGCTAAAATGAGAAGCATTTAACCTGATGGACAATCTCATCACAGACTACTTTCAAACCATCAGCAAAGAGGAAAGGAAGATCACCTTCGAAGAGGAGTGTCAGGGTGTCCGCAAAGATGACAGCAGCTCGCCGGTCACTCATGTCTGTCCCCATCACCAGCTGCAAGTTGTCTTCTGCTTTGTTGGCCACCTGCATGACAACAGGACCAGTCAGCTGGCAACACTCAAAGATATTCTTCATCCCGCAGGGTGGTCCTCTGTCACTTGCCGTGTAGAGCTTTTGCTGGCCTTCCCACTGCTGTTATTCCTCCTTTGAATAGGAGCAACCTTTCCTCTCTTACGGAAAACTCAAGGATCAAGGGGATGCAGAACCTTGTTCTTCTCTTTCCAGGCTCCCTTGTATGACTTTTAAGCAGGTACAAAGAGCAAGACACAGAAGCAGAAGCCAGCCAGCCAGCCAGCGGGATCTATATTCAGACACCAAAAAGCCCATCCCAGGATGCAAAACACAGGAAGAGAGATGAACTAAGGCCAGTGCTGGTTTCTAAGATTAGCAACCCAGAGCCAAGATCTCCCTCCACAAGATCTGTTGACAGACACTGGGTTTTGATTTCCCCTAAGAGCCCAGACAGGTCACAGTATGTTTCACAGAATCCGTTACCTGCTTGCAGAGGTACTCCGAGAACTTGCTCAGCCCCTCTTCATGTAAGCCTAGCAGAGGAAAGATCTTGAAGAACCGTTCCACCTGGGGCAAGTCTCCCTGCTTCATAGCTGTGTCAAATTTCTCTGTGACAATTGTCTTCAGGCGCTGCTCTGCTTCCTGCAGGAGCTTCAGGTTGGCATCAATTATGCCCCCTGGTCAAAAGGACAGAAAAGAAAGGGAAAAGTGACAGCACAACGTTCGTACTGTACCAAGGGCTATTTTTTTTCCCAGGAAAGCCACCAACACTGTGCAGCCCTAGGGTTAGAAGGCAGAAGACATGCTGGAATTCCTCTAGAGGCTAAGAAAGACAGGTACCTGTGTGATGTACACACAGCTAATGTCGTGGTCTTGCATGGAGGATGTGAACACATCGACCGGGACTTTTCTTTTAGGGATCAAGCAATTTACTCCTTCATTTGCAGTTGTTCTCCTTGGTAGCACACTGTAACACTGTAGCAGTTCTCCCTGACAGAGCCTTCTCCCCCACTTCTTTTGTTGTTCACATTTTGTCCTTCGCCTAGTCAGCACCTGAAATGCTATTAAACCCTCCTTTCAATTAATGACAATTCAAACCTAATAACACTTCAAAAATGTTCATCTCTACATTACTCTATAAGATACTAAAATCTTTCGCTAGCATTAGATCTTCTGCTTTGTCTACTGAGTTGGGGCCATCTGCCATGGGAAATCATGCAGCCTCTAGTTATCTACTGGAAAGGTGACTTCTCGGCTTCTCCTCACGAACAGTACTTACCTTCCTTGCCCTGACGACTGAGCTCAATCACTGATTTGTCCAGAGACAGATAGCGATGGATATGAGCTGCTGCTTGCTCGTAATCTTCATTTCGCAGGGCTGTTTGAACTCCATCCATGCAGAACTTCAGGTCAAGGATGTCATCAGCTCTCTGAATGGCCTGATAGAGTCGATTCTGCAAGAAAGTTAACCAGTAAGGCTTCCTGCTGCGGGCGGGACCAGGGAAAGATTTTTTTTTAGAAACAGACCGAAGCGATTTGTTAATGGTTGGACCTTCAAGGTCTCCTCCAAACTAAAAGATTCTGTGATTCTATGACACTTCTCTACGCAATAAACAACTACGTAAGCAGAAACCCCAAACTACTTAAAAATTTGTAAGACAGTAGCTCTGAAAGAGGAACAGCATTTGTCAAAACTCAAACTGAACTCAGAGGCCATACTCCACTTTAACAAGCGAGCAGAGCTATAACCACACATTATCTGTTTTGATTTGAGCAGTTGGGACTTGACGCCTCTTAGCCTGTCTCTGCACAAAGAATATAACAGCCCAGATTCCTGACCAGTCTTGGGTGACAATGACCATTGCCACTGTCGTAAACACTGCAATAATTGACAGAAGAGTGCTAACACAGATTAACCTCAGCTTATTCACCATATTCTACCAGGAGCTGCATGGACAGAAGGGGATGCTGGAGAACCAGCCGCTACATGAAAAACTGTATGCGCTGTTTACTCTTGTACCCTGCAATATCCAGGAGCCCAGCAAGACACCGCTACCTAACAGTACTAGAAAATGCTAAAACAAAGAACGAGCCCACCTGCCCACCAAAGAAAAAAGCACATTTCTCTACCGCGCGGTGAGCACATGAGCAGACAGAGCATGGCTTGGTGGTGATAAGTCCCAAACACCCCCTCGGTCCAGTCACCTTGGCAAGGTCAAGCTGGCGGACTTTACTGCTGACATTCTCAGCCAGGTTACAGGTGAAGGTGATCATCCCTGCCAACTGCTGGGCATCCCCCTCGATAAGCTGCAAATTCGGGCTGGGAACACAAGCAAATTGAACATGAGATGCAAATATTAAGTAGTTGGATGGTCTGCAAGAGCAGCGTGGTTCTTCCTCCAAACCCAAACGCTCCTGTCAGTAACAGTATCTCTTCTTTCATGGCTCTCCTACAGCAGCAAAGCATCAAAATCAAACAGGCTGCTCTGGAAGAGGCTGCACAGACAGACTAACGACTGTCTCGCTACCAGGCAGGGCATGAAGGAGCCACTGAGGCTTTAAGATACTCTCTGCTTCTGAAGTGGAAGATGAAGACTGTAAACTTGTGCTCCAAGCTCCTACTAGACACAAGGCCACTTAGGACGACTTTCCAGACTGCTTGCACAAGCTCGCCACGAAGAGGCAGTAATATTTGTCCACACCTGTAAACAGCCTGGCACAAGACATCTGATCCAAGCACTGATGCCGAAACCTGACAATCGCTGGGGCGAGGCCTTCAAAGAACTGCTCAGCCTATGCCAAAATGGGTCAGTCTGTCTACGGGCGCAGCAGTTCCCTCTGTTAGTGCCGCTGAGAAGAACTGGGATGAGGATCCAGCTACTTCCCGCTACCACAAACTGATCTGAAGTCTGACGTTTTCTGAGAATGAGCGTGCTTCCCTCACAACACCGACACGAGCTCTCATGCCATGCAGCAAGCAGGGAGGTGCTGCGCAGCGTGCAGAAGCAAAAAGAAGGGGAGACGGTGGGGATCACTAACCCCATGCGATGCACCGCAACCATCTTGTTCTCTATAGTGCTTTGCTGTTCCAGGAGGGCGTCCAGCTCTTCCTGCACGACTTTCTGAAAGAAAAGGACAGAGGAAATCTTGCGTGGCTTCAGCTCTCCTCCGGGCCGGCGGCCTACATCCAAGCCAAGCGCACGCAGCCAGCGAGGTGTCGGCGCTTCCAGGAGCTCAGACGACAACTAAACCCTTCCTGAGGTCTCATTTTAACCCTGTAAATATCAACGCCATTTCAAATCATCAGTTGTGCAAACCTCATCTCACAAATTTTAAGTCAGCCAACCCACAAACTCCTCCCCCGGCCCGAGGACCCCGAACCCGGGGGCTGCCCGCGCTTCGGGCACGCCAGTCCCCCGGAGGCGGCAACGCAGGGGGAAAGGCGAGGCCCAG